CTACCAGGATTTGTCTGCCAAATTCTGAGATAATCTTTCTTTTTTCCGCGTCAATTTTTAATAATACTCAATATTTCCATTAAAGTATTATCGAGTAAATTGCTTTTTCATCACATAACCTGATTATTTTAAGAAGTATGATGATGAGGTTTTGGATAGAATTTTTTGTTAATGAAAATTTCTTAAACAAAATTGTTTGATCTTCGTTGAACCTTAATTATCTCTTGAAAAGAACTATTTAAAAATAAACTCTCTAAAATGTAGATAGTAATCTCTTTATAATATTTTTTTTAAGGTATTCTAAGTTAAATTAAGTCAACAAGCAACAAAATTAATGTATTATATATACAATTGTATCTTCAAAGGAAAATAATGATTCATTAATGGAACTCCTAATTATGAACGATAATGACGCATGTTACATAAGGCCAGAAATTTCTCATGAGCATACTACGTTGATTACTAAAGGTTTGAAGTTAATGTAATATCAAAATACTACATTTACAAAGAATATATAACCTGTACATTTATTAGGTATATTGCTAGTATCAAAGGTAAACAAATTTTTTAATGTTGGTATATTTAAGTATTAACTGAATTTGTTTTATACAACTTTTTTTATTTGATCTTTTATTATTTCATTATTTTCAATTGTTTACATTCTATAGATTTATGGTTCTCCAGTTCAAAGAGGTTTAAGGGATCAATAATGATTCTTATAAGAATGATCGAATATTTGTAATAATATCGTAAGGAGTTTAAGGAGAAGAATTTATGATAGATTTACGAGATTAGTGGTAAATAAGAAATATAAAGTCAACAAGCACGAAACCTTTTTTATATTGTAATGAGAAAATTATTAAATTGTCTTCGTTGATGGAGTGGGAATCTTAGAATTTGGAATGATCTAAAACTTAATGCATCGCTATTTTACCTTTATGTCATTTATCCTGTTAAAATCAAATGATAAGTTAATTTAATTTATTATATCATTGTGTCACACTATTATTTAGATATCCAGGTCGAACAACAACTTCTTTCTCAAATATTTTGTATCCACTAATTTTATGAACTGTGGATACAAAATTATATTTAAATACAACAAATTGCTTCTTAACATTGTTAATAATGTTATATAGTTTCATCTTTACTTAATTTATTTCTCGAAATACAGAAAATACAGAACCAATAAAGCTGTGCATCTAATATTTATAAATCATATAAAAATCGTTATCAACTAAAGAAATGCAATAATTACGTTTGACTCGAAAATCATCATTATTGAATTTTATAAGGTACCACATATAGTTTTGTATATCGAACACCCTATGTGAATTTTACGTATAAATCCTGTCAAGTAAACAAAAAAAAAAGGCATATTATTATCTTATCTTTAACATTTTAATAAAATTTACAGTATACTAAGGGTTCTTCGTTTTGCGTGTTATACATTTTAATAAAGTTGTTTTACATGATCCAACTGTTAAAACTTTACAACGATCATAAAGCTCTTTGTATATGTTGGAAATCTTTAACCGGTTAATATCCAGTTAAATATTCGTTAATTGGTTCCTAACCTTTATGTCTTTGCATTCTCTGAATTTAATTTGATAAAACTGGAGAAGAAATTAGTGGAACAAATAAAATAATATTAAACTTTCATTCCTTATTATTTTAATATCCCACTATGTTGGATATATAAGAATGGTACGTTTATAAATTATTTTACTAATTTAAAGAAATTTACTTGGTTTACATGGAGCTTTTAAACACAATAACGTGGACTCCGTGTGCAAATAGAAATTTCTATTTTAATTTTACATAAAATTATTACAGAGATTTTAGACCAAAAAATGTTCATGTTTTAAACTTGAGTAATTGAAATCTTTTTTTTTTATTTTTTTCTTAAAAAAAATAATCTGTTTCTCAAATGACGTATTAGGAGACAAGAACGATATTATATGGAGGCAGATGTCGACAATTTACAAATATCAACAAAAACAAAACGAAGTCAATTTAACTATTTGTATGATATATGTTTTCTTGTGAAAATTTTCTTACTAACTTAATTCTGACCGAGTCATTTTTTTTTTAAAAAAATAATCCACCAAAAAATCGTCGCGTGATTAATGTGGCGCAGCATTTTTATATTCTTCATTTACCTTAAAATTACATTCTCAGTCAACTCTCTCTAAATGACCCTCTCTAAATGCACACAATATATATTTTCTTTTTAAATCACTCTTTGTACAGTCCCAAGCATATAGTAATCATATAGAAATTTTCTCTTTAAATGTACACCCTCTTTAAATATACATTATTTAAAAATTTCGCTATGGATCCAAAGGTGGTGCATTTAGAGAGAGTTGACTGGTAATGGTATTCTATAAAGAAAATTCCAAAGTGTTAATCAATATCTCCTCTCCTCCCCCAAAAATTCCTCTACTTGATTGTGACGATAAATACTTACTTGTGTTAAAACAACAAATAATAAATATATGTAATTATAAAGAAAACTATAAATTATGATTTCTAAAACTCGTAAAAGATAAATATATAAAAAAGTTAATTTTAATCTACATGTTCTCATTTTCTCATTCGAAGTAGAAATTTACCGTAAACAACTTTGTATGCCTCAATGGATAGATTGATAAATTGACCAAAAGAATATCTGAGTTACAATTTCAATGAATGAAAAAACCAATGAGTTGCAAATCACCATTTTTCTTTAAAGATTTATTATGCTCATGTCGATGCGTTTACTTGATCATGATTTTACATTCTCAAAGTTCATTACTGCGTACCACGCTCAATTTTTTTATTTTATTTTTTTATATAGCGATCATAAATTCTTTTTCAATATAAAAAAAATGATTAATATTCCATTGCCAAATAAATAGCATGATTATAAAAAAATTAAATGAGCATGCTCAAGCTTATGACTCATCATGGATTGTTGAAGATGCATCAGATAATAATCTAATAATGCATCAACGTTTTAAACGGATTTTCTAATATTTTACAAAGTTAAAAATTCTCAAATGACAAAAACTTTATTAGAACTATTTTGTTCTCCTAATATTTTTAAACACTGTTTCGACAACTCTAATGATTTATCAGTTCACAATCTTGACAAACTAAACGCGTGTCCATATAATTCTAAAAGAAGTATATTTGAGTGAAAGGCGATAAAGAGGATAAAGAGTGTTCTTGCAGTCTCGCAGAATCGATTTTCTCAAATAAACTTCAGGGCCTCGTTTTCTTTGCACAAGATTAATCTATATTACAGGTCTGTTCAGTTGTGGATTTAAAGTGTTCAACTCAACCGAGAATCTCATTTTCAAATCGTTGATGAATGTGATAATATCCCTGAACGTACAGTTTAGTTCCAATGGTAGCAAAATCCTTTCAGAAACGTCTTTGATGAAATGAACCTTGATTGTGATGATGATGGAATTCTGTTCCAACAAATTGGCAAATCAAATAACGTAACTGCGATGAACTTGGACACCAAGACGATGAAAATAGCGTGGTATGAAAGGAAGGTAAAAACACATATGAAATTAGAATGTAACGGCCTCGTTTTAACATAATTATTGAATCAATTAATGTACTTGTATTTTTAAATTACAATTGATTTTAATAAATTCAGAATTTAAATGTTAGAATTCTTATTAAAGGGACTTTCGCTTGATTTTATCTCGATTAAAAATAAATTAAAATTGAAGAAAATTTAGTTATAATTGTAATCTTAATTAAAAGTTTTTTTTGTGGAAAAACATGTTGTAAAGAATATGGAGGTTTGTTATGTTCCATAACATGATTTAAATACATACCTCACATATGATCTTGGTTTATAATTGAAGGATGGACAAAATCAACAAATTTAATAATCAATATATGATTCAAGTGATGCAAGAAATAAGAATATCAACAACTTCTAGCATCGTGATTTTTGATAGATTCACAGATATAAGAAATTGTTGAAGGAGGATTTGCCAAAGTGTATTCTGTAACATGAATCGATGGTAAATCGAAATTTGATAAGCAAGATAATGGGTTGGAAAATTCAGATTTTAGACTTTAAATGGATAACAGGATATTTTAGACGAAATGTTTATTTACATTATTTTCTTAGTTGATAGTTATTTACCAAAGATTTCTCTAATTTTGATTACAATTCTAGCTTAAAACAATTTGGGATTGGTTATATATAGTTTATAACCTTTATTAACTTGTATGACATTTATCCTGATTTCAAAAATTTGCACTCTATGGAAATTTAAATAACTATCATCTACATTTATGGGAAATTAATTGAGTAAATTAAGATTAATAATTTCTAGACCAATTTTCTTTTTTTTTTTACATGACTTAGGATATGGTCAGATTATTACTTTACATTTATAGTTTGATTGCAATTAATGAAAGCAACAACGAAACGTATGTCAAATGAAGGTTCCTCAAATTATTTAAAAAAGGTCCGAAACGATCAATTTAGTTTATTCATAATAATCTGTTTTGATGATTTATTAATTTTATGTATATTATTATTTCAAGACGAAACCTATTATATTTATGAGGTAACTTCTACAAAACAATTTGTTCAAAGTACAAAATGTCCAGAGCCATTGGACATCATTGACAAAATATTAATAAATAATATAAATATATACCATATAAATATTAAAATATTTATTCAATATTGTGACAATACTATTATATAAGAATAGGATAAGGACGGGACGGGTTATAAATAGATTATTTATTAATTTTAAAAAGAATTAAAAATACAATGATGGAGTTCTTGTATTAATTATTCTCAAAGGTCGCGTCATACTGTGCCGTGACATTCGTAATATTATATATTAATGAATCCAGTTTGGTTCCAACATATTGGATTAAATCATTTTTGAATCAAGAACACAATATAAATGAGTAAAAGTTATTAGTTTATAATTTCTTTCCCTCATTCCAATCAACTCGATTCTCGTCCAATTTTACATATTATAGTAATTTCTAGGGCGTGCAATGACTTTCATCTCTGTGCAATGATAGGTACCAGCATATACTAATTTGGGTTTTCTTGAAACCTTATCAACCAATTCAATGTCGTACTTTCTAAACAGTAAAATTAGCACAGTCTTCAAATCTACCAAAGCCATATTTTTTCCCGGGCAAATTCTTATACCACCTCCGAACGGATTGAAACTATTCTTGAAAATTTTATGTTCAGACCCTTTTAAAAATCTTTCTGGTATAAATTGATCAGGATCTTCCCAATTCTCAGGCGATTTATGAATTTGTTCATGAAGAATGAAGAAAATTGTATTAGGCTCCCAGTACTTTCCTCCAATTTCACCGTCCTCTACAGATGTACGTGGTGTTAATGGTAAAATTGGCATGAATCGTTGAGATTCTTTAATAATGGCATCAAGGTATGTGAATTTATCTAAATCTTCATAGGTAATCTGTCGTGACGTGTCATCCCCCAAGATCTCTTTAATTTCTACTCGGAAACGTGCAATAACTTTAGGATGATGAGCTAATAGCCACATTATGGTACAGAATGTATTTTGGGACTAATGATAAAAAGATCAGAAGAAAAGTTATTTACTAAAGATTTACCCTACCTAAGATGATAATATAAAAACTTACAGTATCTATACCGGCTAAGTTGGTTTCCATGAGGGTGGCACAAACTTCTTGATCACTCATTGGTGTTTCACCTTCATCATATCCGTTTGGATCACGTGGTGTGTTTAGCGTTAATAAGACATCTATCAAATCCGAACCTACATCATCACCATTCTCAATTTCCGTTTTTCTTTTCTTGACAATATCAGTAAAAGTCTCGTTTAACCAATCCATATTATTTGAATACTTCTTATCCATATCATAGAATCCCGGAAAGTAATGCCTAATCATATTAGGAACCAATCGTCCAAACACCACACCCTTAAAAAAAGTTTGAACCGCATGACTTAATTTAATAGATTTTTTAATTTCTTCGGATTTGATTGGATCAACGTGTTCTTCACCGAACAAGTATGCATGAAGACAATAAGAAGGACTACTTGTGGTGGTTCGTAAGGTGATGTCGGTTGTAAAATGTTTTATCCATTTAGCGAAATCAAAGTGGTATTCCTTTTTATCCCAGAAACTTTCATTTTCATTAAATGATGATTGTACAAGTTTAGTGAATTGTCTCAGGAATCTAGGTGACTTAAGTGCTTGAACAACTAATTTCCTATTTCGTTTCCAGATCTGATAATCATTATTAAATACTAAACCATGCTGTAATCCAATCTTTTCCAAATATGGAACTTGCAATCTTGCAAAGAATTTATTATTTGCGTTGGAGTATAGATTTTTTCAATTAAAGATCGATTAGACAGAAATACGAATCGTTTGCTCCCACCCCAAATTTCAAACATGTCACCAAATTCATGATGATGATCCATTGCGTATTTTGCTGGATTTAATCCAACTTGTAATAAATTACCAACTAACGGGAGTGGGAGGGGACCGGGAAGAGGCGATTTACGTGTAAAATATTTGTAATAAAATCTCGCCACATACGTTATTATTGATAACTGTATAATTACGATTAAATTAATCATTGTATTCTTCTTTTTTTTTCCTGAAGGAACAAAAAGATAAGTTAAAGTTAGTTTAAGGAAACCTAAAATAAGACAGGTAGTCCGATGTATAATTAAATATATGAAAAAAAATCCAGTTTATTGGATATATTATGAAGATAAATTTCAATATATGTAAAATCGGAAAAATCAAGTTCAAATGCAGCATGTTTATATACATTATTTATAAGAAATTAATTAAAGGCATATGGATTATCCGCATGCAAAATGTCGTTTTATTTCTGATACAGTTTCAAGAAAGTTTAACCTTTTTTAAGTTGATGGACCGATCAGCCATAGCGAGATTATTTTCTTGGGAATTACATTTAATCGTCTGTTTATAATAAAATTAATAAATACAGTTACTTTTGATTTAAAACCTGGTTTCATTTGTTATTCATTAATTTCCGGCTCCTCCGATTAATAAATTAATTTTATTTATTATTACCATCTTTAGAAGGGTCGGCAAATATAATTAAATACCTTGCCTGAGGTTGGAATGATTTTGATGATCAGTTAACTGAAATGGGAAATCCAATTTCAGGAAAAAAATCTATTTTAACCAATCACGATATACCAAATTTTTTTTTTTACACGACACGTTAAATTTTTATGTTTTAGTTAGAGACTGGACTCGTATTCGTTTAACTCGAGTCAACTCGAGTTAAATTCTGATTCGAGTCAAGATTTTCTTGATTCGAGTCAGAATTCGAG